TTTGAAACCTTAAAACAACTATTAAATCTTAATGTTGCATAAAAACAATAATAATACCTACAGGACAGTTCAACAAGTCACTTTTTTTTTAATCTAAATTTGTACTAAGGGTATTCAACAACTAAATCTTCTGTAAACACATACATAATAATATATAGAAAATATGCAAACTAAAAATTCATATTAATGCATACAAAAGTTTGTACCATGCTAAATCAAACCTGCAGACTACCGAAATAAGACCCTGTCTTAAATCCCACAAAGTTTATATTCACACAAAAATATGTAAACACTTTTTAAACAGTAAAAGTTATGTTTCTTGATTTTTCTGGGTTAAATCTGCATACCCAATGAGACCTAAAATCAAAGAAATTACCATTCAATTTGTTTATATTGAGTTTATTTCAATAAAGAAAAATTTTAATTGTACTAGCTATCGGCTAAAGTTATTTTGCCCACCAAAGTTAAAGTAGTAAAACTAATAAGTTGGCAACACTGGTGTTTTGTTACCTACTGTGTTAGAGATTGTGCTGGCTATAAATTCCCTTCTGAAACACAACAGACACTTTGCTGTTCCACGGTAAAACTAGACGAGTCACACCTCTAGCACCTAGTGAAATGATCTCATTATTTATACTTCTTACTAAACTACCGTATTGTTGCCGGAAGCACATTTTTTGGTTGTTTTTTTTTTTCTATATTTTTATTGTATACTAGCAGTGCCCTCGACATCGTCCGCGTGGAATTTAATAAAAAAGTTGGAGAATTTTTCTAAAATAAAATTAACTTAAGTTACTCCTTATTACATCAACTACCTGTCAATAGAAGTACCGTCAAAATCGGTACATCTATTTCAGAGATTAGCTGTAACAAAAAGACAGACTGTTAAACATAGGCAGATGACCATTTACTAATCTATACAGTCTTCCTTTACACATACTACTACGAAAATTTTTATTTTATGCGTTGTCTTAGTCACCGATACTTAATGCTTCTTCAACATGGTGAAACGGATTCAGAAAGTGCAATGGATCGAGAAGGTATGTGTCCACCGTTGGGCATTTGCTTAATGGTAGGCATACCCCACTGTCAAGCATTTACCTCTATACACGCTGCACAGTACGTGACCCATCAGCGCTATAGTTCGATACTTAATTCTGTAATTGAAATGAAATGATAAACATTATTTATTATATGTATTGATAACGAATACTTTATCTTTACATATAACAAATATTAAAAATCATGACGAGGCAAAAACCGTGTGTGCGTTAAGTCGTGCAAACATTTGTATTCATAAGTACGATTGTTTGTATCGGTCTGGGTATTTTCTACGTATATTATGTATCCATACAAAAAAAATTAACTATCTGTTACTTAGTTCCTGTATGTTTTTTTAGTGTTAGTGAACTTAGTCTTGGTAATAAAAACAGTTAAATTGATAGGAGGCTTGTGTATTCTTGTATTCACAGCTACGCGACGTCCCGTTACAAGAAAGAGAAAAAGTGTTGCCGTGTTATAGAATAAAAAAATAATTAAATAAAATTTTAATGTTTCCATCAGCACCCATAATAAAAACTCAGCTTAGCTTGGGTGTAAATGGCGCTAATTGAATTGTAATGTATTATTCTATGTATACGACGGTTACCGTTTACCATCAGGTGGACTATTAGCTTGTTTACTTGGGATGGTACCCTAATTTCATAAAAAAATATATCAAAACTTATTTCCCCGATACATGGCAATAACACAAACCATCCTATGAACATAATCCGGGAAAGTTTTCATAAACAAACGGCAACTACCAAATTTCCCCAAGGTGGGGTCGTGATACGAATCATTTATGTTTGGCGTGAGGCAAAAACTATTTTGTTCCCTAATTGCTTTCGCGCCGACTCAACTGAACGCTCCACGAATATTTAATAGCGAAGATTGTAGGAAGCTGCACTCCGACGTTAGATTCAAATGAACACTTTAATACAAAAAAATAAAAGGGGTATAAAGTCTTCTCCCGTCGTGTGAATTGCTTTTCTATTCTAGTCTTTATTTATTAGGGTTCCACAATTTCTAGTGTTTGTTTTTTACATAATTTATCTTAATGTTTATAGGTAGGTAGGAGCGCATTCAACATAATACGATGGACAACCGTAAGATAAAAGACAGACTGGTAGTATTAAGATCTCAGAATCAACTAGATATCTCAAGTAAATTGTAGTTAACAACGATCTTGATCACATCAGCTTTTTAACAAAAAACCGCATTGTAATCGGTTCATTAGTTTAGGAGTGACGATGCAGACAAATAGATATAGGAATATTATAGTACCCCTCTTTGTCTTGTCCTTATTTTACCCAAGAAGCAAAGGATTTAACAGATAAAGTCCAACATCCCTAGGATGATATAGGTTACGTTTCATCCCGAACAAATATAACATTCCTTCAGATAAAGCGAATTCCTTCAGATGAAGAGAACAAATGAAGCTGCGGGCAACAACCATTAATCAAGTGTATTGTAGACAACAGTCTGTTATTAATTGATGTGTTAAAAATATTTATATTAAAAAGTATAAAGTTATGAATGATTAAAAGTTCATGACAATTAATCGAACCCGCGTCGTCCCCTTATAACTTTTCGTAACTCGATTGTACGTGTATACTAAATACTACATAGCACAATATATCAGTAAAACTTACGGTTTTACTGGTATATTGTTCTATGTGCTATGTTTATATATATATATATATATATATAAACAAACACTAAGATAAACAAGAAAAATAATTTTATTCTATTATGTTGATAACATTCTCCAATTTCTCATCTGCAATGTGTGTATCACATAAGTGACCATATTAATGGTATCATTAATATGGTCACTAATATGCTTAATAAGCATAATAGGCTCCGAGGTACTGCTGAGCAAAAAAAAATACACCATAATCAACAGTTTAATATATTCATTTTTATATTATTCCCCTGGGTAAATGCCTTGCGTATGGATAAGTTTAGGGTTAGTTTAGGGTAGGTCTACGCCTTAGAGTCGACTATTGCTGAGCATGAGTATTTAAAATATAACAACTCGCAAAAAAACACCATTAAAACATTAATATTGTTTTGACTAACTTGTAAAGCAATAGAATAAAATATTTTATTATTTTTATTTTCTTATTTTATTTATATGCCATCTGCTAGTGATCAGTTACATTTTTATTACAAGTATAGATTTAAGTCTAATCAATCAACACAAGGCTTCCAAGCTCTTTTCATTGCTCGACCATGCCTCGTTCAAAGGCGAAACACGTGTCGCAATATGGATGTAGATTCAATAACGATCGGAATTTGATCAGTAATAAAGGAGGTCGTAACGCTTCCAATGGTATTCAATTTTCCGCACTAAATATTTGTGGTCTGACACATGTTAATGTTTGTGGAATTAAGGAAAATAATCTAAACCCATTAAGTGTTGGAATGGATAAACCGTTAGAGCGAGAAAGTATAATAAACATAATAAACGTTTTCTATGGGCAAGGCTAAAGATTTACCGACATAACAGTAGGCTTAAATGTTACAGCATCCTCATTTTAACTAAAAGAATGGATTTGAAAGATATGCTTTTTTTGTACAAGATCATATGGGGTCATGTTGATTGCCCCCAACTACTTGCCCAAATTAGATTCCGTAAACCCTCTAGAGTCCCCCGTTACCCTATCACGCCTCTAGTTCCACCACTTCGTAGAACTGTACTCGGTGCCAGTTCTCCTATCCCCAGACTGTGTAAATTATTGAACGAACATAGTGACATCGTAGACATCCACTTCGACGCAATCCGTACATATCAAAAAAATATATACGAACATTTAACAGCTCCATTGGAATAGTAATATATATTGTATATAATAAGTATATAGTATACGTAACAGATAATAAGCATAATTCATAATATAAAAGAAACAGTTAAATTAAGATTTCCTTCTTTTTTTTTTATATAACTTTTGTATATTATTTTGCATGCCGTGTTCGCTTTTAAACAATTATTTGATTCTGATTGTACAATTAGACCATAACCCATCACATGTAATTAAATTAATTGTATAATTGTAACAATTGTTGGTGATCCTAAATAAAATTAAAAAAAATAATAATAATAATAAATAAATATCCCAGCACAATTAACACAGCGTCATCTAGTCCCACGGTAATTATTATTCTGTGCAGTTAATAATTTGTCGAATATTTTAAGCAGATGTAGATACCCATTATTCACTAAGTCCAATACCGATACTGACATCAAAGTTAAGGAACGCCTAGAGGTATCTTCTATCATTCTACAAGGAATCTGTAATAGTTCGTAATACTGACGGTGTAACTTCTAACAGCTTCATAAGTATTCCGGATCTCTGTAGCTCATGAATACTGACTTTAAGGCTGCTTGTCATATTGCTAAAACTTTCTAGAATATTCGAGAACATTCTAGTATAATCATTGTAGTATACTATAGCGCTGTAAAGAATTTACATACTATAAATACCAGTATGGGTGAAACAATACCATATCATAACAACCCTAATAGCTTGTTATGGTATCTAATGCATATTTCTTCCCTTAAGGCATAGTGCCACTCTTACAAGTTAAACTGGATGGTAACTTGGATGATAAATGAATGGTAATAAAAGCTAACAGACTGACAACATATGTAAATGGTAGATGATATATTATTTTCAAAAAATACTAATACATACGCAGAGGCTAGGCCATATGCTTGTTTGCCACCATAGTTATTTAAAAAAAAATATCAATGATGCCAGGCAACGGTAGCTACAGGTAGCCATCAGGTGTCTGTAAGCACGTTTGTCATATAAAAAAATCGTAGGTATCTATTAAACCATATTAATATTGGTTTTTATAAGTGAACAACTTAAAAAGTCTTAAAAAGAAAAGTATTACTGAAGCACTTAAGGGAATAGGTACTAAATAATAAAACGGGTATAAAATATAATAATTTATTTATCACCCGCTTCGTTCTCCTTTTGCGGATTAGGTAGAAAATAAACCAATCCAGCCACACCTGGAATGAAAATAAATATTTTTATTACACTCTTCGACGTATTTTACTTTTTCTGTGCTCTGTTGTGTATCTCTTAAAACACTAACCTGTATTTTAGGCAAATAAAGAATTTGAATTGAATTATAAAATGTATTATAGTACAACAATTATAAGGTAGTTTTTTTAATAATTATTAATAATATAATATCACAAAAAAAAAATATTTTTAATTGTATAACGGCCTCAGTGGATTAGCAAATCGTTTTACGTTCCATGGTCGTGGGTTCGATTCCTCGCATGGTACATGGTATTTGTATTCATATGTATGGTTATTTCTATCGATAACACCAGCTCTGCTTACAGTAGGACTACATGGTGCTGTGTTAATTGTCTATAGTTATTTTATTTTATTATTTATATTTTCATGAGTATGAATAGGGAATGGAATACATTTTTGTAATGACATTATTTTTTAATACATTCTAGTCATTTCTAATTCAAGGGTTTAACACTAAATAGAGTTTCATACATACATGTAGGCTAAATGACAGTCATTTAGCCTGATTATGCTACAAATATACAAAGTTATAACATCTTTATTAACTTTGAAATGTATTAGATGTTAATATAATTTGTTTTGATGGACTACAAAGCCCTTCGTACGCTTGCGCCCCGCCTCCAGGAAATTATCATTACATCACGCAACTTAATTATAACGCGTAACTTGGCCAATTATATTAATAGACTTCGAGAAGAAGAATTATTATGTTTGATGGACATACTTTTTAATGGTTTTTGTGTAACTGGAATGGCAAGCTGACGGTTCATTTTATGGATAGTGCTATCACATTTTACTTCATTTAGAATAATATTATTTTCGAGATTAATACGTAGAATATGGTTCTCAAAAGCATACTATTTATGATGGATCTAAGACAAATCTCAATATATATAACTCAAAGGTGACTGACGTGATCTATCAACGCACAGCCCAAATCACTGGACGGATCGGGCTGAAATTTGGTATGCAGGTAGATGTTATGACGTGGGCATCCGCTAAGAAAGGATTTTGATTAATTCTACCCCTAAAGGCATAAAATAGGGGATGAAAGTTTATATGAAACTTTGTCAATTTTAAACCGATCGGGCTGAGACTTTGCATGCATAAAGCTACTATGACGTAGGCATCCTCTAAGAAAGGATTTTGATAAATTCCACCCCTAAGGGGATAATTTAACGCGAGCGAATCTGCGGGCAAAAGCTAGTACATATATATGTATGTAGGTTTGTTTTTAAAAAATAATGATTGAAACACTAATTATATTATTTGAATTGTTGCTGAAAATTTTATCAGAAGCCAAGATAATGATAATGAGCATAAGAAGCATTCTAATGCTTCTTTATCATATTTATTTAGGATCGACGCAGCATGTCATCTTCTTTTAACAGTCCCTATCAGATTTAGCTTACTTTTTTTGCATGCATCTTAGAACACCTACAGCAAATGTTATGAAATGCTAAAATTAATGCTAATTAAAAAATATATAACTAAAACGTATTATAAATAATTGCTATTAATCCTCCCTAACTTTGGGCTCGATAGTCTAGTGGTTTAGCATACTGCTTTATTTCTGATTGTCGCGGGTTCGATTCCTCGCACGGTGCCAAACAATTGTATTCATGAGTATGATTGTTTGTGTCGGTCTGCTATGTATATTATGCATGTATTTAGAAAAAATATATTGAAGTATTTATATCAGTTGTCTACTACCTATAACACAAGTTCTGTTACCGTGCGATTAGATGGTGCTGTGTTAATTGTCCAGGGTTATTTATTTATCCATCCATCCATACTTACAAACTTTTCGCGTTTTTAATATTAGTAAATCTAATCTATACTTACATAATGTTATTATAGATAACGTTAAAAATGGCGCCATACATCCAATTTCCAATAATACCGGGAATAACACATTTCCAATCAAGGATCCAGCTCTGCCAATCATTACAATAATTGATATTGTTAGACCTCTGAAAATGAAAATGTAGAATTAATGGTTGTATCTATAATAGTTGTTCATGCACGAGATTTTCATTTAATGTTATAAAAAAAAATATTGAAAAACAGTTGAGTTTCCTGTCAGTTCTTCTCAATGAAATCTGTATACTGAGAGAAAAAATTATAATACAGAAAATTTGACGTTCGTAAGCTGCTAAAATGTCCTGCATAAATAAATTCTTTTTTATTAGTTTTTTTAGCTAATAAAAATTTATTTATGATACTAGTTATGTCAGCTGTGGTTTTATTTTAGTCGTAGTTATTTGTTTGCCTATTTAAGAGTATTTCTATAATGCAAATCTTAGTAATTTAGTAGTTACAATATTGTAATTGTTAGAAAGCATATTCGAAATATAAACAAAAGAAAAGTAACATAAATATATATATAAACATTAAACATAGTATAAAACAAAGTCGCAGTCGCTATCTGTTCGCTTATATCTTTTAAATTACGTAACGCACTTCAATGCAGTTTTCAGCAATAGATAGAATGATTCAAGAGGAAGGTATGGGTTATAATATATGCTTATAGGTATGGGTTATAGTATAGAACAAGCCGAGAAATTAAAAGATTTGTAATGATTCCGTGCGAAGCCGGGACGGTTGATAATATTATATAATATAAAGAAAGAAGGGAATTGATAGTATTGGGGACTTGTATTAGAGTCACTAGTCCCAGTACATTGCTAGAAATGGAGAACCTATTGTTGCAAATTGCAATGTTGAATTAATCACAATTAAACACCGAGGAATTTGAATGATGGGATATCTGACCTGAATCCATGCTCATTCTATCATCCTTCACTGGTACCCTGACAGCATATACCGTTAACGCCAGCGGGTGCATTGTTCTGTTATTTTATTATCTCATATCATAAACGTATATGTACATAAGTGTATATATAGACATATATATATATGTATGTGTATGCATATTAGTTATGTGTATATGTATGTATATTTGTTTATAATGGTTCTGAATAAATGATATTTCTTTCTTTCTCTCAAAAACCAATAGTTTTTATGAAACTTTACAGTAATATAGCTTATATATTAGAATAACATAGGCTATAAATTCCATGCGGATGAAACCGTGGGCATATCTATAAAATATATAAACATAGTCATCTTACTATATACTTCACAGTCGCTATATATACATATTATTGCTATGTATATTATTGGATGAAAAATAAACCGATGATTAATTTACTAAAAGAGCAAAATGTAATTATAGTAGCTATTTGGAATATTAATATGAAGTTTCATGTAAGCCAACAGTTTAAATTATAAGCGAATTTATCCAATATCAGCTACAAGACGCTTAGCATCTTAGTCTTAGATAGTAGCGCATGCGGTTTGCTCTGAGTGTATATTCTGTTCAAATTATTATATTACTATCTGTACCGTTAAGTTTTAATAAAGTTAGTATCATTTTACTTTCTCTCCTAATAATATTTTCTTATGTATGTATATCCGCGTACAAAGTATACGTTTGATTTTTTTTTTATATAATCTATAAATTGGCGTCAAGAGCGTAGCTCTTAAATTATGAATGAATGAAATGAAATCTATAAATACAATTGGTAATTGGGTAGGTTTTCAATGATTTTATGTAGGATTGGATTACTATTTAGTACAAAAATTAACTACAATGTTTTCCAGTTTGAATAAATAGCATAATACTCTATTTCTCTGGTGACTACTTCCCATTTATATAGTGGATTCTGGTACTATTTTCACTGACATGTCCAAATTTTCTTCCGCAATGCTTATATTGTATGTTAATATAATCTACATGCATATAAGTTATAATATAAGAGTTAACTTACATAACTTATCTAAGTTTATATGTATGAGTATGTTTTTAAATAAATGAGACTGTATTTTTAGAAGATATTATTTAATAGAAGAGAACCACAACAAATATCTGTAGATAATATATAGAAGAATATATATGTCAAAAAAATTGCCAAAAATAATTTATAAAGTTATCTGTAAATTATTGTTTTTAACATAGAAGTTAGTTTAACTATCCTACAAAATGTTCCTTTTGTAAATTTTTATAACAACAATAACAGTATAACTTTTTATTGCGCACAGGAAAAGAATTACAAAAACCTATACAAAAATGCAAAAATCTCTTAAAGCAATCTTTTATTATCTTACTTTCATTTGACATTGACATTCTCACTAAAAGTTATTAAATATTTTTTTAAATATTAGTAAATATAACTAACCGCCGCATAACAGAGACGTCAAATAGTTACTGAAGCAGCTCCTTAGTGTAGATTTAAAAAATGTCTTAGATATATTTAGAGACAGCTAATCGTTGATTATTAAACATGTTCGATAAAAATACATACGTGGAGAAACGTGTTCATAGAAAGTCAACTGACTTCCTAGGATTGTAAATTATACTCGATTGCTGTGGTTTGGGAACATTTAGCAGTCATCTTAGGGATTGGCGACCGCATAATCCTAGCTTTCTAATTGCTTTTGCCCTTCAGAAAGCACTTAAATTCATCTGTCTCAGTTGTTCGCGCTAAATAACAGTTGTTCAACTAAGTTGGAGGTTTAAAATAGTATGCTATGATCAGGGTTGCCGAGTCTTTCTCAACAAAATAGCGAATGGTGGCCAAACAAAAAGTCGATGATAATAATGATTGTAACCCAGCAGATTTCACACAGTGCCTTCTAGTCCCAAGCCAAACCGAGGCAAACTTGGATACTATACAAGTTATATATAGTATTTAATTATATATTTTTTGGAAATACACGTGTAAAACACCGACACAAACAATCATACTCATAAATATAAATGTTTGCATTATGCGAGGAATCGAACCCGCCGAAATCGGAGTATAGCAGTGTGCTAAATCACTAGAACACCAAAGCCGTCAAACAATAGTACTTCTAAATAAACAAGTAATTACCTATATAATGTGTAAAAACATAATTGTACGCTTCCTTTTTACATCTATATTTGTAATAATAAATAAACTATGCCCAATATAAAAATACAATATAGGACTCAGGAACTAATAAATCCTATAATTAAATCGTTACTTAGAGAGGAAAATCACTTAAAATACCTTATTATTTTCGTCATACCGAACTAGTAACACAATGCTGCAATACTTGGCAACCCTGACACTGACAACTGATAGTGAGGTTTTCCACTAAGTTAAACATGAAATCCTATTAAAATTTTAATGGAAATACTAATATTCTTAGACCTAAACAAGAAAATGATGTGAAATAGAAATAGGAGATGTCGCACGGTTACTAACTATTTACATCTTAATTATTTACTTTAACATTAATATAATCTTAGAAATGTTAGACATTGTTACAAATATATCGTACGCCTAACGCAAACTGAATTAACTCCAAAATTTTAAATTGGAATATGTAAGTTCGTGGTTTTGCTTTAAGATCGACATTTCATAATTTGTAATATATTAATAACTTATGTATATTAATTTCTTATACACTTGCATGCAATCTTGTATGGTAATGTCAGTGATATTACAGAAAAAGAAAGTATGATTCGTTATATTATCCAATCATAGTGAAATTCAACATTTACAAATCATTTGATAAGGATATTAAGTTCTAGAATAATCGACTAGTAATGATATTAGTAATAAACTCACCTTAATGTAGTGGGAAATACTCTCACAAGAATACTCTGTTGCAAACTTAACGCTGTCTGCATAAATCCACATGTGGCGGATACCAATATCGCAATCTGTATTGAAGAGTTTGTCCAATAAAGAGATCCTGAGCATGTAGCACTCAGTATTAAGAGAACAAACATTAGAGGCTTCTGACCGAAGAATACTACCAAGTAGCCACTGGTAGCGATACAAATGAGGGAGACGAAACCTAAAATTATCCCATTTATATACGTCACTGCTCCACTTACTTGCTGGAAAATAGTTGCAATAAAAAATAGCAATGAATATAATTGTATCATTAATCAGTAGATAGAGGAGCACAAACATTATAATAATTGAAGTAAATTTTTATTCTGTCATCAGGAATGGCAAACAAGCTAACGGCCCGCCTGATGGAAAGTAGTAACAGATATTTACATACATGAACAGCACCATGGACATCATATTGTGATATTTCCCATGTATTGCCATATCGGAGAAGTCTTTGTACTTCGAAATTTCACTACTATATTGCCAATTGACGGCCACAATGGTCTGACTGATTAGCACAGTTTACTTCCGATGATCACGGAATTGAATACGTATGACTTTATCCTAAATAAATGTATTTACCTCTCTCGATGTTTTGACTAGGCTACACTAGCCGTGGTCGGTGGTAAATAATTTACCATAACATTATTAATTTTAAAACTCATTCAACTATATTCATAATATGTACCAAACTCGAAAGTTAAGTCAAATATAAAATAATTATTCATACTTTACACAATATGAAGCATAAAGTATTTATAAGTGAATTTATAGCTATCTCACTTACCGGTATACACTCTTGAGGTTCAGAAACATTAATATTTATTTGCGAAACTTTTCTAGCCAGCTCCTTTGTGTACTCGTTGAGCATAGTACAAAACTGCTGAGTTTCATTATGTGCTTTCTGATAGTTTTCAACTATCGTAGATAGTTGTGGGTACCATAATCTTAATGCAGTGTATCTATAATAAAAACATTTAGTAAAAATATGTACATGATTAAATACAAACTAGGTAGAGTGAAGAATGATAGGATCAGCGTAGAATCAGGTTATTTTCTAAGGCAGCATATGGAGGTCGATCAAATGGGTAGGTTCATTGCTAGCGATAGGTCTATTATATAGGATTTATAGGGTTTAGTATTGACCCTATGGCTAACATACTCAAGAAATACTACTTGTAAATTCTAATATTTATTATTAATATCTCACTTTCATGAAGTAGTAAAATAATAATATAACGTCATAACTATTATTTTAATATGGTTCATAGTTCCAGGTATAAACAATACATTAGGTACGCCCATGTTTCAATCGGTGTATTTGAAACCAACGCACTACCGATATTCTCCGGCTGTAAGCCAACTCCCGCCTGATGGATACTACTTCAGTCTGAGGGCACCGCTAGAGGTTCGAACCTCGGCTCAGGCTGTAGATCATATGATCCCCATTTGAATTAGACAGGGGATCGATTAGTGGGGATCCACCTCGGTGTGATTATTGTATAATTACACAAGTAAGTACTTACGCCAGCAAACAAACGAATGTCATAGCCGAAAACAGCAATAATCTCATAAATAATGGTTTTTTAAATAATTTCTTCACTTCAATCAGTCCATTTGTTAATTGCTTCCTAAAACTAATTGTGATTGTCGGTACATGTTCACTTTTCTCACAAAATGATTTAATCTGGAATATAAATTACATAGTATAAAATAAAGTCGCTGTTGTCTGTTCGCTTAGATGTTTTAATCTACGCGAACGAATTTTAATGCAGTGTTTAGCAAGAGATAGAGTGAATCCAGAGGAAAGTTTATATGTATAATACATGTACGAAGCCGGAGCGGGTAGCCAGTTTAATTATAAAGTAAAGTATTTTATGGCTTTTTTTAATTATTCTAATACCGTGGCTAGAGGGTACTCCAGGAAGAACTTACGGAGCTGCTAAAACTATGCCTAATGCATACGACTTTAAGCTATTACTATATTATATAATCACTAGCTGTATAAAACTTTAAGTTGGGCTAAACAGGACTTGTATCCAGAGCCGTAAAACAAATTAATAAAAAAAAATCGCCAAATTTGTCTCGCAATCGGCCAATTTCAGGTTTAAAGAAAAAACACATACACACGATATACGATTTTATCATAAAAAAGTGTCAAAAACAATATTTTCGCTAAACGTCAACGTCATGTTTCCGGCAAGATCTTTCGTTTTACATTATGTTATCTGTGGTTTTGTTCTCTGTAATGGATACCTTATTGGCGCAAACGCACGCGATGTGTTGATTGGTTGTTAGCTAGTGAAATGAAAAGATGACGAATAAGTATTCAACCGCATAAAAATTACCTTGTATTTCCATTTTGAACCCTTTTTACGCATTAAAAAGTAGCCTATGTCCTTCCTCGGCGTCTAGACTATCTGCGTACTAAATTTCATTTAAATCGGTTCAGTAGTTTTGGCGTGAAAGCGAGACAGACAGACAGAGAGACAGAGTTACTTTCGCATTTATAATATTAAGTAAGGAGTAAGGATAAGGATAGACAGAGGTTCGAACTTAGGCTAATTCCTTCGGCCTTCGTAATTTCGATCCCCTTAGGAATGGGACAGAGAATTGTTAGGAAACATTTTTACTTTGTTTAAATTATACTCGGCTCCTAAAGGTTAGAATGATGTTAAATACCCTATAACCTACCCAAATTATTGGGGTATAATGTAAAAAAATAACTACTTTATTTTATAGTTAGTTAGTACTTTATAGTTAGGTAGTAATAAATAAACAATGAGTATAAATTTTACTTACAGGAAAAGATTCCTTTGGCTCCCCTGTATTAATATTGTACATTCTCGTCAAAATCTCCAATGCCTCGTTTTCTTGTCCATGACTTAATAAGAATTTGGGACTTTCCGGTAACATGTAGTAACTTATTCCAGCCAGCAGACTCCAAATGGAGATTATGAAGAAATAAAGATTCCATGAATGTAATACTGAAAAATATCAAAAGTCATTAATTACTTTCAGAACCTCATTAATTTATTGTAAATGCTAATTTTTAGAATGGGGATTGTTATATTTTTCTCATTTTTCCTGTCGTTTTCACTTGAATCCATATTCATATATTTAAATACATTCAATCTATATTTACAATGTATTATAACTGTGTCTATGCATTTTTATATTGCATATGTTTTATTCGTTTAAAGTGTGTTTCTCTGAACAAATGTTAACGAAATTGAATACAATATTTAAGGACTGTGTGAGTTACACAGCACGATTATGTCCCCAAAGTAAGCAGAGCTTGTATTTATACATATCATATTATACATATTATTTTTTGTAAATACATATATATAATATATAGGAAATACTCGTACCGATACAGACAATCATACTCATTATTACAAATGTTTGCACCGTACCAGGAATCGAACCCGCGACCATCGGAAATAAAGCGGTGTGGTAAACCGCTGGACTACAGAGGCCATTAAGAGTAAAGTGAATCTTGAAATGAATTGAATTATATTTACCGAAACGACCTTCCCAAAGTACGAAATCCCATGACTGAGGTAATATGGCCCACGACATCAGAGCCATAACTATTAACGATGTAGACATGAATCCTGCGTAACACATCATCACTCTATCTCTAACGTTTTTATGTGAAAATTCAGAAACCATTACTGACGTCGCACCGAAGCAGATGCTCAGGCTGAAATTTAAATTGCAAATAAATAATCTTAATAACCATTCACATCCTGTGAAATATTTTTTATAGTTTCACATTACTTACTTATCTAAAATAACAATTAAGTTAACCTTAGACAATTCACTTTGTAGGTAATTAAATAATAAATAAATAACCCTGGACAATTAACCCTATGCCATCTAGTCCCATAAAAAGCAGAGCTTGTATTATGGGTACTAGACAACTCATATAAATTACTTAGAACTTTTTTTTGTAAATATATCATAATATACATATAAACAGCCAGACCGATACAAACAATCATACTCACGAATACAATTGTTTGTACCGTGCGAGGAATAGAACCCGCAATCATGGGAAGTAAAGCAGTGTTTCTTTTTGTGTATGATAATGGAATGGTGCATCCGCCTGCGCTAACGGTTTACGCTGGCGGGGCACCAGTGGAGGATGATAAGATGAGCATGAGGTCACGTCAGTTAGCCCATCGTGACAAATTCACCAAGAATTCATCCCCAGTTTCCAGGGAGAACCACGTGGAGGTTGACCTAACATGGTACATTGCTAGCAATGAGAGTAACCAGTTCCCATTGCTAACAATCACCTTCCCCCCAGTAAAGCAGTGTTGTAAACTGCTATGTAAATAAAAAAATATTTTTTTTATTACATAGGTAATCGGAATGGTAAATAAACTATATTAAAAATTTTACCATCTACAACACTATATGAAAAATGTACTATAAACAAGTATACTTATACAAAAACAACTAAAGCTGTGCTAACAAATTTAATTCTGAATACTGAAGACTGAGATGTCTTCAGTATTGTCGCGTTACAAATAACAGCATTCTAAGAATAGAACTAAATAAATGAAACTAATTATTACTGTTTACGAAGGAATTAAAATAATCTCTATCTACACTGAGCATTTGGAAATACGCCTTCAAACGCTCAAAACAAAGAAATAGTTGGGAAATTCTATAAATCAACTATGATTCATAGGGGGCAAGGGGAATATTAGCAAAAAAAATACTTCTAGTTTAACATAAAAATACTTGATAAAACTTACTACACGGTTGGTGATTTCCTGACTGATACATTGACGTAAATACAGTAGATTAATGACTATATGTATGGTTACATAGTACAGTGATTTTATTTCATTAAACATATATAATAATTGTACCTATAAATTGAAATTTTGCACATCTCTTACGAGGTTAATATCGGATCTCAACAATATTGTTAACACCTTATTGTTTACCTACATTTGGCAAATAAAGTATTATTATTATTATTAGATTTTTTTGAAACAAACTGCCCGTCCACCTGATGGTAAGCGGTAACCGCCTATGAGGTGAAAAGAGAATCGTCAGTCAGTAATGTGAACAAATAACCCCATTGCTAGCAATGTACCATGTCAGATTGACCTCCACACGGTTCCTCCTGGAAACTGTCGTGATAAATTTCCTGGTCAATTTACAACGATGCCGACTAACTGGCCTGATCTCATGCTCATTTTATCATCCACCACTGGTGCCTCGCCAGAGTAAACTGTTAGCGCAGGCGGGTGCACCATTCCATTATCATCCACAAGAAACTATGATTCACACCAAAGAGCAACACGCAAGTTTTAGTGGTAAAATGAAAATATGAGTATTCAAAAGTGCTTATATTAAGTTTATTTAAATAAAGATTATTTATATCTCTTTGCATGCAATTACCTTTATTTGCAGTAGTCAGGTTACCTTAATTAATAGAGCATATTTTATGCTTTTATATTTAATTATGTAGTAGTTGCAATAAATTTTAATATATGTAATAAAGACTACATATATTAATTTATAAATTATATTCAATACTTTCTATGCTATGTTATATAGAATTGACTTAAAAAAATGTGTAAAAATGAGATAAGAAGTTCATTTTTATATATATTGTTCTTAATTAATATTATTGCGTATTTCTAAATACAATAAAGTTATATTTGCATAATTCTACTAATAGAGAATACAATCACTTAATTTATCTTTAACCCTACCTATGCCTTTCAAACTAGATCTTAATATTTTTCTAAGCATATTTGAAATAACGTGGCAGGAAGCTATTGTTATATCTTGGCTTAATTTAGTTTATTATCACTGCTTTTCTGTTACTGACGTCAATTATCATTAGAAATGCTAAATTGACTTGAATATGGCGTACGACCTCGGTAGTGCAGCGGTTTACCACACCGCCTTATTGTGCTGGTCGTGGGTTCAATTCCTCGCACGACGCAAACATTTATAATCATTATTTGTATGGATCCAGCTGTTTTCTATGATAAGTATCTATGTATTTATTATAACATATTTAAGTATTTTTATCAGTTGTGTAGTACCTATAACACAAAGACTGCTTAGTTTGGGACTAGAATAATTATTATTATTAATTGCCTATGATGCATAACCTTGGACAATTCATACAGCGTCATCTAGTATCAAGCTAAGCAATATATACATAATATATATAAAAAACAACCAAACCTATACAAAAAATCATACTCATGAATATAAATAAACACGTTTCGGACCGTTTTCGTTCGAACCAGCGACCATCAGAAGTAAAGCGGTGAGCGAAACCACTAGACTAGCGAGGTCATCAACTTAGTGAAAATAAAATAAATATTTGAATACAAGTCATTTTACAACCATAATGATTCTTATGATGTCTCATGTATCTTCCAAAAAATTCTTGAATACTTACAATATGCCTTCTACAAGTTTCACTAATATCAATACTATATAACTTTGACTCGTGCCTTCTATTATCGAACAGGCAAACATCCCAAAGTATCCGGTCACAAGAAATATTCGTCTTCCAAACGCGTCTATTAGGAATCCCGTGAATAACGAAGCACCTACTTGACCTGCAACGAAACAACTGTTTATTTATAGTAGCAATCTATTTGATATGATAAATCAAATAATAAAAAATCAAAAAGACAAATAAATGTTTACAATATTAACAAATACAAAAGCGCGATTAAAAATAAATTGGATTTGCTGTTACAATCTAGTAATAATCCTGATTATCTTTACACCAAGCTAATTACTATTCTATCAGGAGAATACGAACAATTTTTCAAGAAAAAAGAAGTTTATGTTAAATCTAAATTCACGGAATGGGCAACAGTAGGTATACTTAAAAGTAGAAATATTTTGTTTGATTTATACGATCAAAAAAAATATCGATTTGATGACAAATTCACCACTTATGTGAAAAATTATTCAAAAATTTTTAAAAAAGTTTGCATTACGGCTAAATCTAATTATATTAATAAACAAATTAACCAGTCTTCTGACAAAATTAAAACCATCTGGGGCATTATAAATAAAGAAACCGGAAGATCTAAATTAGCCTATAATCAATTTGCATTAAATTATGATAATAAATTAATAACAGCAACAAAAGATGTAGTTAATGTTTTTGAAGATTTTTTTGCTAACATTCCGATTAACATTACATCTTCTCTGGACTCATCTCCATCTCGAGCAAAAGTATTACTAGAGTCTAATATCGGTTGTTGTGCTTTAAGATTTAAATTTTCACATGTTAGCCCCGTTCATATCATAAAAATATTCAAACATCTAAATTTAAAAAATACAGAAGACCTTTGGGGCATGTCTGTAAAAGTAGTTAGTTCTTTCATAGATATTGTTGCTCCATATCTAGCTACTATTTTTAATAAATGTATTGATAATGGCACTTTTCCACAATTAATGAAATTTAGCAAATTAATCCCACTATTTAAATCAGGTGATAAATTTGAGCCAGGGAACTATAGACCTATATCTATTTTGCCAGTTCTAAGTAAGGTGTTTGAAAAGATAATGTTAAATCAAATGTTACAACACTTTAGGGATAACCGACTGCTTCACAGTCAACAATATGGTTTCACCGCCGGCAAGTCTACCACTGACGCAGGTGTAGCGCTGATAACACATATTTTCCAATCATGGGAGAAGTCACAGGATGCACTCGGAGTTTTTTGTGACCTATCAAAGGCATTTGATTGCGTGGATCATAAAACACTTTTGTACAAGCTCGAACATTATGGTATAAAAGATAATGATCTAAAATTAATGAGAACTTATTTAGAGGATAGGGTCCAAACTGTAGATATTGACGGTATAAAATCTAAGGGAGCTAATATTGGGATGGGCGTTCCACAAGGGTCAATCTTAGGCCCCTTTCTCTTTTTAATTTACATAAATGACCTTCCCTTTATGGTAGAGAAAATTGCAGATATAGTGCTGTTTGCGGATGATACTTCGTTAGTGTTTAAAATTGGACGTCAAACTAATCAATTAGACGATGTAAATTGTGCTATGTCTGCTATATTAAATTGGTTTACATGTAATAACCTATTATTAAATTCCAGCAAAACAAAGTGTATAAAATTTACACTTCCTAATGTAAGACCAATAAATACACAGTTATTGCTTAATGATGAAATAGTAAATTTTGTTAATGATACAGTTTTTTTAGGTATAACAGTGGACTCGAAATTACAATGGGGGCCCCATATTTCAAAATTGGCCAATAGACTCAGTTCAGCTGCATATGCAATTAGAAGAATTAGGCAACTAACAGACGTGGCGACGGCTAAACTTGTATACTTTAGTTATTTCCATAGCATTATGTCATATGGTATACTACTGTGGGGTAAAGCAGCCGATATAAATACTATATTTATTTTACAAAAGAGAGCCATACGTTCTATTTATGGTATGGGTTCAAGAGAGTCATTACGTCAGTGTTTTAAAGATTCAAATATCCTCACCGTTACTTCACAATACATTTATGAGAATATCATGTATACACGGAAGAATTTAGAGAGTTTTAGAAAACTTAAAGACTGTACAAATAGAAACTTACGCAATAAAAATAAGCAAATTTTACCTAAATGCCGCCTGCACAAAGTCAGTAATTCATTCTATGGTAATTGCGTAAGATTTTATAATAAACTGCCAGAATCTGCACTAAATCTGACAGAGAGGCAATTCAAATCTTATATTAAACAATTTTTGTGTAAGAAAGCCTATTACAGGATAGACGAATTCATAGACGACAACATATCAAGTAAATAACTAGTTTATTAGCATACAACGTTATAATTTAATTTTCTCATTGCTTTCTTGATTTAATTGATTGATTTTAGAAATATGAAAGCGTAGCGGTTTTTGTATTGATTGCCGCATGCATTCTTATGTAAAATGTGAATACTATAACTATCAGATAGCAATTGTAAGTAGCTTTGACGTAGTCTAGTGTTTTGAATTGTCATGCTCACTAAAATGTCCAGACTTGTGGCGGCGTGGTGGGCCGGGTCATTGGGCTCCCTAAAATATGGTCGAGCGCAGTGATGGCTGGCTCATCCGTCATACTCGTGAACGGGTGCTGCTTGTAGGGACTGGTCTGCTCTAATCACTATGACTGATTTCCTCTTATTAATTGTTTAACCAGTTGGTTATATATTCAATATTATTTCTATTTGAGTATTTAATAGAATTAGTGCTAATTGGTGGTTTGTATTCACACACTTAAACTTAAAAATGTAAAGTAATAATAAATTATTTAAAAGAGCAACACGCAAGTTTCTTGCTCGTTCTTCTTGTGATGAGACAGCTTTCCGAACGAGCGGTAGTTTAAAAAATGTAATGACTATTCAAAAGTGCTTCAATGTAAGTTTATTTGAATAAATGATTTCTATTCTATTCTATTCTATGACACCGCTGATAGTTTTTATAGTTATATATCTTAACTAAAGCGCAGACCACAAATAATGAGATAAAAACAATGCAATGATGTTATCTTAGCTATGATTCAAACTCACCGTTTGCTCTGTTGACAAAAAACACAATGGGTTACAGAGTATTTCTACTATTGGAGATCATATATAATAGAATGCAGTAATTTTACTAACATCTATTATAAACGTGTAAGTTTGTAAGCATGGATGAATGTTTGTTCTCTTTCACGCAAAAACTACTGAACGGATTTTAATGAAAATTTCAGTAATGGAACTTATAAAACAAAATTCAAAATTCATAATTTTAAAATAATTTACTCATATCGGACATTTTAGCCGCTTTTAAACGTCAAATGTTTTATATTATAATTTTCAACAGAATAACACATAGGCTATAAATTGCGAGTGAAACAGCGGGCACAGCTAGTATCATTATATGGCATACTAATGTATTAGATAAATTCACGTATTTAAAGTAATATTAAAATCACGCATTTTGTGATGTTTTTTTATATAAATAGAGTGATAAAGAAGCTCAGAGCCCACCTGAAGGTAAATGCTAACCATCACCTACATACGTAAATAGCTAAAAAAATCACATTAACATGTAACGCCCGCGAATCCACTCATGCGTTGCCATTCTTAAGAAATAGAATTTCATGCTTAAAATACCCTGTAATTTCACTGGCAAATACTAAATGCTAGGGTACAGACCCTACAACCAAAACACAGCTTCCAAAGCAAACTATTTGGCAGCTAAAATAAGTGAGACTGACATATCCACGCAGATGATTCTTTATACAGTCTATTTCGCTAAAAAAAATAACGAAATAATCTTATAAATATAGATATACTAAAATATATTACTTATTGACATTAAAATAAATCGCATAATTGCATGATTATAATATTTTTGTATAAACAATCCATACGAACAATCATATCGTACTGATACTGAATAAACTTATTTACATCGTCACCTACGACTATCTAGATTCATTTACCACTGTCATCATTATTTGGCATCTCGCAGGCACATATAGTAGGAAATTTAATAAATGCATCGATAAGATAACTTGAAATTAAATTACTAGCATTATACAAGTAATTTGCAACAGATATTGTTATTTTTCCACGACTGCTCTTTTGGTCTATGTTTTATTTCACGGTCAAAAATACAGTTTTTTCTAACATGCAAATATATGCTATTGTTTTCAGCGAGACCTCTATAGTATCGTCTATTGATGGCTTCGGTCTTCTAACGGATTAGCGCACCGCTTTACTTAGTAAGATGACAGGTTCTTTTCCTTTATGCACCGCCGTCTTAAACTAGGCTGGGGCCCTTGGGTACACAAGAATACGGGGCCCTTTTGGAAAGTAAAAAAAAAAGCTATAAGAACAATAACATTACTGACTTGTGAAAAAGGTGTAGTGTGCCCGGTAAAAATGTTTTGAGAATAAATGTATGAGAAAATTGTCAGTCCTTCGGGGGCCTTCTGAGAATGGGGAGCCCTGGGCACGGGCCCCGTGTGCCCTTATGGTAAAAACGGTATTGCCTGTATGATACAAATATTTGTATTCATGAATACTGGCATTGGCATTTGTATTTTCTATGTTTATAATATATGTATTTACAAAAAGTTCTGCTTAGCTTGGACTTAGATGGAGCTGTTAAAATTGTCTATGGATATATATTATTTTATCTGTGGTATTATTAAGTCTCATAAGATCAAAATGGTCGGTAAAAAAAATATATAATGAAATTATAAAATTGAAACAGACAGTCATAGAGCAAAAAAAAACTGTAGACATCGCGATGTAATAAATTACATACCCGGTAATAAATTACAAAATAATATAAAAACTAAGTACAGAAATTAATTGTTATTGGTCTGGGTATTTTCTATGCATATTATGTTTTAAGCACTTATATCAGTTGTTTTGTACCCATAGCGTTATATGAATTGTCCAAAGGTATTATTATTAATATAATATTTTTTCAAATTAGTTCGCGTATTTCGTCTGTGGGAGCGATCTTCTAAAAGAATTCGCTATCTGACTTTACCATTCACTGATGCTCCTTTTACGTTAGGATAGGTAAATATGGAATTCCATATTCAAAATTAATAAAAACAATAACAATATTTTTTTTTATTAGTAACATCGAATTATCTGTTTACACTATCGTCTGTGCACTGACATTTAAAATTAAAAACGTCTTAAAACAAAATATCATTGTCAAAATATTGCTATCTCGCTTTATCTATTTCCCATGCCCTGAAAGGCTCAATGACAAATTTGTATATGTATATCTTTATGACGTGTGTTTTATTAAAAATAATTGAAATGAAATAAATAGTCGAACTATAATACATATTATTATTATCATCTCTGATCGTCGTACAAATGTTATGTTCACTTTACTTAAAAAATATTAATACAAAAAACCTGACGTTCATAAGCGGCTAAAATGTCCTACTTGAATAAATAATTTTTGATTTGACTTCACGATAGGGGCATATTATTATGTTGTAATTTACTAACATAGTACATAAGTTCTTTACTGACAGAATATGGATGAACGTCCTAAATAAATAATATAAAATAGCCTGGTATGGGGTCCTAGATAAACTGTACCTTAGTTAAGTTTTCCGAAAATAAAAGTTATTCTATTCTATTCTTATTCTAATAAACCTCCTTTATTCTATTTTTCAAATACAATCCGTCTTTCCGAGTAAGGAACAAACGTATTCATTATCTATGAATGCTACTTTTTATTGTATTTCAAGCAATTTTAACCTCACGATTTAAGTCAATAACATTTTATCAGTCCATTACAAAAATAATAAATATTAGTTACTGATTAGAAAATATATTAAAATACATTAATACCTGAAGCATCTTGTTACGTGGACGGAGCAGTATGAAATTTTGCACACTTATAGTTTATATAGAATGCTGAAATATTTTAGCTGTACCCGCGGTTTCACTCGCGTGAAATTTATAGCCTATATATTTATCTGATGTATATATAAGCTATATTACTGTAAAGTTTCATCAAAATTCGTCCAGTAGTTTTTGCGTGAAAGAGTAACAAACATCCATCCATACTCACAAATTTTTGCGTTTATAAAATTAATAAAATTAGGCGTAAAATTAATAAAAAAAAGATTACTCGCACTACAATGTATTTATATATATATACATAACTTTGACAATAGAACCTTAATAATGTTAAAATTTATAATTTAAATTAATTATCGTCAAATATCGAACATTGGACTACCACTAGACAAAATAAATATAAGAGTATGGTGGTATATGTACGTACTAGTGGTATACTAACCAGACCGTGGTCGTAGATTAGAATCTGTTACTTTAAAAAAAATATTAAAAGAACTTACCAACAAAAGGCATAGCGTTCAATAACCCCTTCTGCATGATTGTCATACGAAGGTCACATTCTGCGCTTGGCAGAATATATGAGGAGGTGGTCGTAGCCATTGTAGAGGCAAATACTCCCGCCAAAGAGGCAAAGAGAAGGAAGAAGTGGAACCTCCCAAACTTGCATAACACCAGTGCATCTTCAATGATTTCCATAGGCTCTTTTTTCTTTGTAAACGCATCTAAAAAACATTATGTATTTATTCGACGCCCTCGCTGGTCTAGCGGTTTAGGTTTAGCTGATTTACCTCCGTTGGTCACGGGTTCGATTCCTAGCACGGCACTAACATTTGTATTCGTTAGAGTATGACTTTTAGTATCGGTCGGGATGTGTTCTATGTATAATTGTATGTATTTTATCAGTTATCTAGTACCCATAACACAAGATTTAGCTAACTTAACTTGGGTCTAGATGGCACTGTGTTAATTGTCCTGAGATTATTATTATTAATATAAACAACAGTATAGGTAGTACATATTATTATATATATAATCAGACGGTCCCTTCTGGTAACCATATTCAGTAATTCCTGGTGAATTCATCAGGATCTGTTAAGTAACGTGACTTTATATTCATTCTATTAACGCAGCCAGCGTATACCATTAGCACTGGCGGTTGCACTCGTATCGTAAAAAAGAGTTTAAGTAACTTTCCACTGAGACAATATCATACTTCTATTAATTGTATAAACCACAAGATAAAGAAATACACTGTTAAAATTAAAATAAAATCGCTTACCCGCCTCATTTTTTTCATTATCCGTCATTTGTAAACAAAATAAATAAACTACACGAATAAAACTATTTATAAATATTCAAAATAATCGAACACAAATTCTAAATTCAAATTTAAATATTATTTAATTTTTGTAAAAATTTAAAAAAATCGAACACTAGTTTTAAATTCAAATTTAAATATTATTTACTTTTTGTAAATATTAAAAAAATCGAACACAAGTTCTAAATTCAAATTAAATAATAATTTACTTTTATAAATATAAAGGAGATTCGTGGCCTGTCACATAATCATGCGGTAAGCGTATTGTAATTATAACTGACAGTGTTGTAATGTTGGGTTTGAGATAAAATTAATAAAATTATACGTAAACATGACTTAGCACTACACAGTAGAATTCATAATTACAAGTACACAAACTTTATGTCGCAATTACTATCTGTTGCAGATTAAATATAATATAAAATAATAAAAAAAACATGATATTGTTTTTTACTATCATGATATGTTTTATTTAATTACTGTGATTTCATAGTTTATGGATAAATATAACAAAAATATTTCTACACCGATATGTACTTATATTTATTAATATTGTGCATATGTGTAATTATCTATTAATTTATGTAACTATTATGTATTATATATGTATGTAATTGATAATGCACCGCCCACATGAATCTCTGATCCCTATGGTTGACTGGAATAAAATGCCTCTAAGTATTGGGTCCGCCATGTGAACGTTTATTTGTATATTAAAGTTTAATAAATAAATGTTTTTGTTTATTAGATTCCTAATACTCGTAGTATAAGCTTTGCGTTGTTTGTTAGTAGATGGCGCAGTGCGAATTGTCAATTTATTTATGTACATAGACAAACTATTTTTACTTAGTTTTGATTTGAAATCATTAATTCATGAACTCCCATATACAAAACATCACTGTAATTATTGTATATAAAGTATTACGTAAACATGACAATACTCCGTTACGTTAATGATAAGAGTCTGATAAGGAATCGTTTCAGTTAAGATAAAGTAGTAGGTAATTAATATTTCGTAGTAATTAGTATTAGGTGACTGTCAATTTATATTAATTGATTGAAGTGGTCACAATCTAGATGTTAACATGACCACGTGTTTTCGTTTTTAATATTGTAACAATAAGCTTACTAACATTATAAACGCAAATGTTTGAGTAGGAATGGATGTTTTTTCTTTCACGCAACTTAAAAAACGAAAATTTACAGTAATACAGACAAATCAGAATAATATATAGGTTATTTTTATGCGGGTGATACCGCGGGTACAACTAGTTAATATTATAAATACAAAATTGTGTCTGTCATTTTGTTATATTTTCTCGGTATGCCAATGGGATGATATCAAAATTTGATATGAAGACACAATGTGTAAACAAAAGACATTCGCGATCCGTTACCTCAATGAACAAATCAAATCAAATCAAATCAAAAATCAGTTATTCATGTAGAACATTTTAGCCCCTTATGAACGTCAAGTTCTTGTATTTTTTCTTGTATGTTCTTATATTTTTCCCTAATTTTTTCCGTCCAGTATTCCGTATATAGATTCAATTAAGAAGAACTAAACTAAATTTCTTTGCTTTCCATCCAGTTCCGTATACAGATTCAATTGAGAAGTTAAGAGAATAGAGACTAAATTTCTTTGCACACTGCTTTACTTCCGATGGTCGCGGGTTCGATTCCTCGCATGGTACAAATATTTGTATTCATGAGTATGATTGTTTGTTACAGTTTAGGTGTTTTCTATGTTCAGTTCCGTATTTAGATTCAATTGGAAGAACTGGCAAGAAACTCAACTAAAAATCTTTTTTTAAGCTCTTTTATTTACATTGTATACATAAATAGATCCATGTCTTACACTAAATGAAAATCCCGTGCAGTAATTATTGCCATGCCAAATACGACTTTTATTTAAATAATTGTATAGTCAATAAATATAATTCTCAATATATATGATTTAATAGATGCTATAAATAATAAAGGGATAAAGGATTGTGACGTAAAGTCACGGGTAATAGTTAGTACAAATACAAATATGTATACGGAAATATTTGATAAAGTAAATAACAATCTTATCAATTAATTAAACATGATCAATAAACAATGACAAAGGTGAATCCACAAAATTGGTGAAGTGTGAGTTTGGTTGCAAATAAATAATGTAATTTTAAACAAATTTTTATTATTTTCTTTATAGTGATTTCTAATGATTACGAGAAATAAAATGGTAGACATAAATAAGATTAATAACTATAACATAGGTTTGCGATTCGTAAAAGTTTTATAATATACTAGCTGTTCCCGCGACTCGGTCCGCGTGTAATTTAACTTTATTTTTCTAAAATAAAATACTTTTTTAAATAAAAGTAGCCTATGTTATTCCTTATCATCAGCTACCTGCCAAAAAAAGTCCCGTCAAAATCGGAACAAACAGACAAAAATTTTAAAAATGTTATATATATATGTACAGTAAAAAACGTTAACTTCAGTTTTACAAACAGACACTCCAATTTTATTTATATGTATACATTTAAAAATAAAATAATTCAATTTGAAAATAAAATGTCAGGCATAGAACAATGATATTCTTATGTTCTCTTTTTTTTCTTAATTTACACACATCTAGAAATTTCTGCAGCGTCACCAATAACTATATCTAGTTTACTAATATTTTTATTAGCCATTCTTCTTCATTCTTCTTCCTCCTTTATGTCCTTTACTTTTGATACATATTAATGTACAATTCCTTCTTAAAACTGTGCTTTCATAATTAGCTTGTGTGTGTGCATGTGTATGTGTGGGTGTGTGTGTGAGCGTGCGTGCATTTGATTGTCTGTGCATTTGAGTGGCTGTAATACAAAATTTCAGTGTGATAAAAAATTAAAGGACAACAAAATGAAATTTTTAATAATAAAATTGAAATAAAACGCACCGTTTGGCGCCAGCGGCCATTATAAATTCTACAAAACGTTCAGCGCTGCAGCTGCATTCCAGTCGCAAAATTTCACTACAAAACCTTAATAAACAGACAGAATTGCTCCACATCTTCAATATTATTGCTTGAATGGATACTTGAATCGAAACGTTGGATAAGATTATTTTCATATTTCCGTACTGAACACCAACCACTTTTTCTTTAATGAAAGTTATTTTACTATTATAGACAAAAAGTATATATGAATGAACTTATTAATAGGATTTTTATGGCTCTGTATGTCATAATGATTTCTTTGTAACTTCTAATTTATCTATTCGTCAATGTATAAAAGATTTTCTATTCTATTCTATTGTAAGCGCAATCTTTGTATAAATGAATATTTAAGAAAACGGATAAGTCAATCTGTTTGACGGCCACTGTCCCTTGTACATAACGGGTGCTACAGATAGTCCTCTTTGTCGTTTTTATTTTAATTGGAAAGCACATCTCCTATACACATATAGAAAAAGATACTCATATCCAAATAAACTTTCGTTGTACTGAAAAAACTAATATGTGAAGTCATACTTAATATTAAAAATGCTGAAGGCTGTCTCTATGTTTTAGTAACCCCTTCACACACTAAATAGCTGAATGGATTTCGAAGAAGTTTATCATGAAGTTAAATTATATTTCAAAGATATGCTAAGATATGCTAATTTTCATTAAAAAAAAAAACCAAGTTACGGAAAGTATCTAGTTTAAAATAAAACATAAAAATGAGGCCCGTATTGTGGTTTAACATGTGATGTAATGTGGACTCTATTCTCTGCATTTAGCTTCTTATTAGCCAATGTGGAAGTAGAGCCGAGACTTCTGAAGCCATTCAAGCTGATCCCAGAAGCGCAGAAGCCTCCTGGGAGCGATCTCACCGTTTCGAGGATTTGTATCCGTTGTGTGGCCACTGTTACGCACTTCAGGATTACGTGAGCGGCCATTTCTTCGGCTGCAAAACAACCTCGATAATAGAGACTGTCTGTAGCACCTACTTTCTATAACATTTAAAAATCCCGTTCTTAATATGTCTTATACAGAAGCTACAGCATTATGCGCGAGCAATGTCACGGGTAATAGCTAGTGGGAACATAAAACTGGCGCGTTCCATTTATTTGCACTTAGTTCGATTTTTATTCATGAAACATCGTGATCGATGAGGCAATATAAGGGTTAACAGCTACGTTTGAGAGTTTAACCCTTATGTCGCTATGTAATTCATGGCTGAAGTTAGGTCGTTTCAATAAATATTTTTTTATATTATTAGTATAAAAAATATAGTTATTGAAAGAAAAAAATACAATTTAAGTATATAAACAATAATATTAATCTCTGGGTAATTCACACTGCGCCATCTAGACCCAAGTTAAGCTAGCTTTTTTTTCGTAACATACATTATACATAGAAAATACCCAGACTGATACAAATAATCATACTCAAGACAAATGTTTGCACCGTGCGAGGAATCGAATCCACAACCATTATTTAAGTATATAAACATTAATATTAATCTCAGGATAATTCACACTGCGCCCACCATTAACCCAAATTAAGCTAGAAATTTTTTGTAAATACATACATTATACATAGAAAACACCCAGACTGATACAAACAATCATACTCATGACAAATGTTTGCACCGTGCGATCGAACCTACAACCATCGGAAGGAAAACGGTCTGCTAAACCGCTAGACCACCGAGGTCATCAAATAAAGATGTCACAATTATTTTTAATACGAAACTGTTTGAACTGAACAGAGTCCTGTTCGATTACTTTAGACAAACATTATTGAAGGAAGGATTAACGAGATTTTCCTCTCTTGGTCTAAATTCACCTGCAAGTGGCAGGGAACTCGGAATTTCCAAGTCCAGACAACGGCTTTACATATTCTCTGAAGCTTGAAGCTAAGTGACAATCATGTTTCAATAAAGTGAACATGAATTTTAAAATCCTGAATCCCTTTGCGGACTTTGTGTAACAAATTAAAAAAAATCCAGAAACAAACCATTGTCAATT